ACTACGCGACTGTAAACGGGCAGGATGGATGCAACAATTACTTAACCGACCATGCAGTAAACATCGATATATTCGAAATTTGCAAACATCCGAAGGTATTCTTAATAACTATAGGTTCCCACTGGGAAGGAATAAAACAAAATACTAGCCTTGTAAATAGATGTCTAGAACATGTTACATATACTGTAGGAAGCAATTTCCTACAGATTCAACTCTAAGCTAATCTCTGGACTGTCAAATACAGAGTCTTGGTTTAGCCAAAGTCATAACAAGTAACCAATTTGGCTCGATAAACTTTATCTGTTTCTAAAATATAGATTAACATCGGTAGTGTACAAACAAGCAGTACGGTCTATTAATACAGGGAAAAACAGGGACAAATAACATACCGAACAGTAGGCAGAGAATAGGAAAAATGAGTCAACAAAGCAAAATTGTTTTACAATGAACATCAAACTGTGATTGGTTAATAAAGAGATACAGTCGCACAAGGTCAAAGAGAGTTAATGTGGTGGTGGGCGTTTCACTTTATTATTGGTGGGTTCGTCTATCGATCACATTTTACATATACCTCCTATATAAATACTTGTCCGAGTTTTGAGCGACCACTTGATCGCTTACATAGACATGATGACGTTTTTCATCCGGCTCCCAAATTGTACAACATGCTTCTGTCAGATATTTGTTACAATCAAGGGACGTTTTCGGCTTTCCTCAGGCTTCTCTGACGCGAGCGTAAATACATTAGAACTGATAACAAGTACTTCTATTTTAGTGGGGCTTTGAACAGTCTCTCACACAACTTTCTTATTGTTCTGGAACATGTTTTCATTTAGCATGTGGAATCCCAACTTATCTTTATTCAAATCTTCTCAGCAGAACGTGGCCAAATCATTCTCTTTGAATCTTTCTACCTTAAGTCTATAAATATAACCAGCTGGGTTATACAAGCAAGTGTAAGTGGCTTATTGCTCTTTCTTCCTTACGTTGATGATGTTTATTCGCCTTCAATATTGTAAACTTTTTCTTTTTATTGATGACCTCAAAGTAGTTTATTCATTCTTGCCTCCTACAAAAAAAACTTTATTTCAGCAGTAATCAAAGAGGACAAAAGTAAGTTATGTTTCAGTGCATTCCGACAACAATGTTCACCAGCAAAGTTAGAAACTCTTAAACAGGAGCAATAAATCAAACTCTAATCAACTGCCAGCATATATATGGCATTTCTTAAGCTTGGTACTCACCTCCTCGTACTCCATCTTATAATCTTACAACTTGTTTAATAAAGACAATACTCTATCGATTCCGTTGACTTACACAAACGTACGTCATCACTGCAACTCGGTTCAAAAGTTCGGTTGATGACTTTCTTCAAGCATTAGGTTTGTGTCACTTAATAAATATCTGCTTAATTATATGATAATCAAAAGTATTCGAACTATTGTATTAACCAGGAATTTCAGAGAGTGCAATTAAAGCCAAAGAGAACTATGTGAACACAAACGAAAGTATTGTATAGAGAAGTCGAAACTAACCAGGAACTAAGTACAGAATAATCATTAATTTTGAGTGGCCCGGGATCTGACTCTAGTCCGATTGTTATTGAAATATACACGTCGCCGGTCCTCGTATATAATTATCGACCTAAATGACTTTGGTGAATAACTAAATCAAGTCAAATACGAGGATGGATTTTTGGATACGTTGATGGTAAAGTGAAGATGAACAAAATCGCGCGCAATGGAGAAGACAACTCAGCAGTAAAGTTCGAGTCCGGGGGTTAAAATCAACTCTGGGTACAGGTACACATTGTTAACTAGTCCTACATAGGACGATTACATGTTAGCCTCCATCCAACTTTGACTGCGCTCTACATTTAGAAATATAAGCCACCAAATCATTTTATTGCAGAGAATAAATCAGGTTCATGTGCAGAAGATACATTTATGTGATGATTTCACCGGAGACTAAGCAAACATAGCATTATCAATCGTTGTGCGGAGTCCCAATTTTTAGGTCTCCGATATCCCTACAAAAATAGTCAATAGCAGAAATAAGTACGACTACAAGGCGATTTAGGGAACTCGTTGAAATGTATGGTTCTTCAGTTGAATTACTAAGCATATTGTTATTTCGATGGAATGAAATAAGACTGATTACCAAGGTCAGACCTCAGTTGTTTGAAATAAATTAATTTGAAGTGAAGCGTACATAGGTTGTGATGGTGAGCTAAAAGGTGTATGCCCTTTGTGGGAATGGTGACCATTATCATCATCAATGTCTTGCAGACAAGCATCTGAGTCTGATGTACTGCGTTTACGTCCATAGGTGCAAATATATCTGGCGAAAAAATACTTCAGAGTTGGGTCGTCAATGTTCTTTATACATAATGGCATGACATAAATAGTGTGCGCAAAAGGTAAAAATAATTATGTGCTTTTGTCAAACAGGTCTCAACAGTTAAGCCGTCGCAATAGCATAATAACACTGAAGAGTCGTCCGATATAATACATCATTACGATGGCATCACTTCCGTTACTTGGAGGATGGATGCTACCAGACTTAGTGTGGCTGAAATCAAATGTCTTGAATTGACCGCTTCTGCAAAAGCTTGCCAATTGTCGAGGTGACGCACCAGTCGTCGTTGGAGAGGGTCGATAGAAGACTGTCGCTCATCCTGGAATACCTGCTTTGACTCGGACCACTCATCTGCTTGCGCCTCACGGAACACACAAAAGCCACACTAAAAAGACTCATTATAGTTTAATTGAGTAATGAGAAAACCAAAAGTAAGTTCCAGGCACAACTGAGGTAGTTCTGAAAACGAGGCTGACCCAGATGTTTCTTGGCGAGACAAAACAAACAGCAGTGATACCCGCTATTGATTTTAACCAAAGGGTTACATAAAACCAGTGGATGCCTTCTAAGTAAGTATGCATTTAGATTAAATTACCATCCTAATTTTTCAATTTAGTTTAGTAATAACAACCCAAACGTTTTATATACGAAAAGTCCACTAATTCATTACTGTTTAGTTTGTGCCATGCAGTTTTTCGTTATGTAACTGAATCAACTTATTGGTGACTTCAGAGATCATTTTTCATACGATTTCATTTGTGTTTCAAACATATTAGAGGGACACAAACAAATTCCTCGTACATATTCGCATCATGTGACTATTTTAATATCATACATACATAAGAACCATGCCAATTTGATTATTGGTAAAATACAAAACGGAACAGATACAACTATAATATTAGATCATGGATACTTAACATTATACGCAATAATAGCTGAAGTGTTATTGAAATTACAGAAAACGTCGATGGAATGAAAAAGACATTATTTTTTTTAATAGAGTTTGCAACGTATTAAAAAAATAAATAAAAATGCAAACTAAATTACACGTGACCCTAAAAAAAGCCCTGTATCGATCTGTCCGTTCCAACTCTTTAATAGTTTATCCAGTTCCCCATTCCCACATTCCTGTATTTCATCGACAATCATGTCATAAACAGAGAGGTTCTCATGTAGTAACTGGAACATTAAGGACGTTTCCTCTTTTATCGATAATGTTGTCTTTATGTCTGGTTTTTATCGCGTGATCTATCCACCAATCAAAATACGACTTTACAATCTTAGCACTGTGCCAAAACCAATGACGTTCAACCAGTATGAGCAGTCTAGCGCCATTATTGGTCTTATGTCCGCCTAGCCCGTCCACTTGATTCCCGTACACCAATACCAGCTTCCACTATATGAATCGAATCATTTATTTCAGACATATATATCAACCAAACAGACCGCAACGCACCATAAAATAGGAAATAACATTTGTACACAATAAAGCCAAAAAGTGGCTGTGAACGTGGGAGGCAGTAGTCAACAAACTGAGCATAGCTTAAGAACAGTAAATCGTACAATAATAAATTACTGGTTTCGCGCGCGAGGTCCTGCGTTCGAATCTCGCAGGGGGTGAGGTCGCGGATGCGCACTGCTGAGGAGTCCTAAAATAGGACGAAACGGCCGTCCAGTGCTTCCAGGTTTTCCATGGTGGTCTAGCTTCAACTGACTCATGATCACAACCATTGAAATAAATTATAGGTCAAAATAAAGCTTATAACAAGGGGAATATATATATACACAATCTAGTTACTGAATATTTATACCATGAGAATATATAAATAATATTAGTTCATTAATAGGTCTCAGTTGTTACTCCTTATGTAATCTTCACTAGGATATAACAGATAATATACCTAGGTTCTTAACTGGAGTTACCGGTGACATATTTCTACCAAATACGGAAGTCTGTTAAGCTCTAAACGTCTTCCATTCCGTCCAGAGCCATTTAAATACTTTCACATTTAGATGCTTTTTGGACTCAATTCCTTACATTCATTGAAAAGGATGCCTACAGAACAGTAAAACGCTAACCATTTGAAATTAGATGATGGTTGGACGTAGTCAACAGGAAACCCTGGACCCGGGTTTCGTGCTACTTGTCAGCAAGGTGTACCTGTAATCTTGGGGGAACTGGCGCTCCCTGGCGGATCCGATCTCATGTCACTCAGCTTCACAGTCAGAGACTTTACCACTGAGCTATCCGGGAGGCGACCGACCTCCCATAGGAACAATGAAATCTGAGATGATGAACTGATATTTGCAAAAGAAATAATCAAGTATGAGCCAATGGATTGATATTTTGTAAATGAAGTATTTACTGTATGGTTCTCAGATTTTAGTGAGATGATCTGTAATTTTGTGCTCAAATACATTCGATTGTCCCCATTTATGTTCTCGTTCACTAAACTATAACTTCTTCTGATGTATAAAAAATACATTAACGGAACTTTTTATTCAATTGAAAGAGAAGTATGTTTGTTTGTTTTTTTTCATCTTAAATGATTATTTTATACAATGGATAGATGATAAAGTAAATCAAATACTAAACAATAAAGAAAACGTTAAATACAAAGTACTTGTCAACTGACCATTTAATATATAAGTAAATACATATATATACAAGTAAAATAAATTATACAAACTTTAGTAGATAGATTAAACTTTAATATATTATCACTATTAGAATTAAATGTCCAGATTACTTTTCGTTGATAATTATATGATGGTATATTAGCCGATGGTAACCATAAATTATGAGGAGGATTTAAATATATTACTTTATTAGTTTTAATTTGTTTTTTGATTGAATAACGAGATGTTTTAATAGGATTTGCATCAAATTGAAATAGTGTTTTGATAGAATTTGGTAAAGATGTAGAATGAATTTTGTTATTAGATTCTAAATAGTTTAAAGTTGTTAGTACTGTACTCTAAAATTGAAGAAAGACCATATTAGTAAATTAGCTTGCTTTAAATTACCTAGGCAAAACAGTGAAAAAGTTTTACAATTGATTGATCACTGGGTGGTGATCAATGTCATGCTTGTCTAGTCCTTATTAGTGCAGATCGAATGCTATAGATCATGTTGCAATGTGGCCACCAGTCTAGGTGACTCGACACTGCGGGCACTATGTATTGAGATTTAGATGGTGGTTGGAGGTAGTCAACAGGAAACCCTGGACCCGGGTTTCGTGCTACTTGGCACTCGTCAGCAAGGTGCACCTGTAATCTTGGGGGAACTGGTGCTCCCTGGCGGATCCGATCTCGTGTCACCCAGCTTCACAGTCAGAGACGTTACCACTGAGCTATTCGAGCCGTGAATAACCTCTTGTAGGACTGAGATGTAATCACAATTGATTGATCACTGGGTGGTGATCAATCTCATGCTTGTCTAGTCTAGTTTCAATTTATGATCCAGAAATCATCTTGGAGATAAAAAATCATGAACAAAATAGATTAGAAACATAGCTGTAATATGTTTATACTTTGCTGAAACAACGGATTACATTAAAATTTTATTTACTTAACAATCATAGAATGATTTCTGCAGTAGCAGTGAAAAAAAAACAGATGGTCGACACTGTTTTCTTCAGAAACCGAATTGTAAACCTTCGTTTTGATTTTCGACAAAGCATCCTGTAATAGTTTCTCTGTTATAACGCCTAAGTCTATTCTGGATTTCGGAACGACTTTGATATGTCAGATAGCATCTGACTAAAATCATTTTCACAATTCTAAAAACTTCATTCACTTCAAAAGCAATTGTGACCATCAATGTGTGTATCCATTTTATTATTGTTCTAGTCAAATCTCTACTTGTGCGTATTATGAACGTCTGTATATCTGTACACTTAATTATCATACCCAATGTCTGTCACTTTGCTCATATTAGTCAATGTCTATTTTGAGAAGACAGTGTTTAGCTCCAATTGGTTTCACATATTATCTGATTGCATTAACAGATGTATGACATATATGGATCTAAAACTTTCGTACATTACTCATAGTTCTCTTGTTCAATAAACATCAAAGATGTGAATAAATACGAAGTTAATTAGGGAGCTATAATCTATTGTTTTCTCTTAAGAATCATTAGGAGTCAACTAAATGGCACTAAAAAAAAAGAGCATATAATGTTCTGTCATACAGTTGCAAGAACAGGTACACTATTTCAATGCTTGAGCTAGATTAAGCATTGAGGCGTTTTCTACTCTGATCCTATGTTTATATATCAGCTCCTTATGTAACTAAGCCATTATTCCTATACAGTACGTATTTAATAAATTAATTCGAATTCTTTGAAACATTGGTTGTAAATATTGAAGATTTTCGAAATGTAGTTTAGAACAACATTGCTTCGAATTAATTTTTATTATGCTTCACCATGATATGTAGTTAAATATCGACGCATACGTCAAAAATATGAGACTAAACATAACTCTTGAAGATGATGCAATAGATTAGATAACTAATCATAGCACGTAAAAAGTCGATGTTAATAGTAAGATATACTATGATATAGCTAAGCAACATGGTCCTAGAAAATAAAAGGACATTCGTAAGCTACAGGCATCCAACCATAGATACCCTCAGAGCATTACTCGCGTATGTCGGGACTTTCGAGGTAGCAGTGCTGAAGTTAGATAAGTGGTACCAGGGAAAGGTGGAAAATTGGTTGGTGATGCAGCGAATCTCCATCGATTAGGGTGGTTAGGGAAATACAGGACACTTATGGGCATAACCACTGTCCATCTACATGTGTGACGTTTGTTAGTGTTTAAGTAGGCTGAAAGAAAGCTTACTTACTCCGGTCACTCCTCGTGGAGGATCATAGACCGCCATGAGCATTCTCCATCCAACTCTATACCAGGCGAATCTTCCCAGTTGCTATTCATCCTTTCCATGTCTGCTTCCAATTTCCGACACAGTGTGTACTTTGGCCTTTCTCTTTTCCGTTTCCCTTCACGATTCCAGGTAAGCGCTTGACTTGTGATGCAGTTTGTTGATTTCCGTAATGTATGTCCTATCCACTTCCAACGACTTTTCCAAATTTCTTATCCAGCCAGATCCCAGTGTGTTCTCCGCCACAGTAGGTTTTTGCTGATGGTATCCGGCCGACGGACATTGAGTATCTTGAGTAGACAATTGTTTATAAAATACGTACATCTTTTTGATGATATCTGTAATAGTTCTCCAAGTTTCAGTTCCGTACATTAGAACTGTCTTGACGCTCGTAATAATAAAAATAATAACAGCTTGGATAAATTATGAGCAGAGATGGATGTATAAATGCTTTAATATCGAACTTAAATCGAAACTTGGAAACATTAACAGTAAAATAACAACTTATAAAAATTGCGTAGTAAGAAATATGTGAATAATCAGTTCACATGTGAAAGCAGTAAAGAAGAGATATAAAAATTGATGGAAAACAACCAAAAGCAGGGTGTGGAAAAATGATCAAAATCGCCTATCAATTAATATCAGGCTAAGGAAAAGGACAGGAATGTTACAAATTTATTGTGAAAACATAGAACAGTATTGTAGACTCGTAGCCCGTTGGAAAACTGAGAGGGTAAACGGTAGGAAATATTTACTATGTAAGTCTTTCACAATATTGTCAACAAATTGACGAGATAAATGTTGTGTCAAGTTCAGAATATTAGCTGGTTGCTTTATAATCAAATTAGAAAATGGAGTTGTGAACGAAATTTAGGAAAAACTAGACTTATTGACGATACATTCCTCATCATCGATCAGAACACCAATAAGGAATTCTTAAGTCAGTTTATTAGTGTACACTCGGTAGTGACTATCACTTGTGAAAATGTGTGTGATAACGATTTGTATTTCCTTTACATTTTATTAAGCAGACAGTAAAACAGCTTGTTAAGAATAAACATGTATAGAAAGAACTCTACTGAATGCAATGTAATGAAAAATATACAGACCATTATGCTTACTGGGTTTGCTGTTGAATAACTCGGCAATGGAAGGAAAACAGTTACGTTATCTATAGATTGAATTCTACTTTCCCCTTTAATCGGCACATAATGAGGATCAGAATTATTTTGAATTACAGATTGCATAATTTCAGTTATGTGTTGTAGATCTTTAATGACACGGACAGCCATAGGATTTATCTTAAGAAACGATTCATTTTCGATCAGATTTACGGTTATATTTGACCTGTAACGTAAATTATAAATACTTGTGAACGAGCTAACTACAGTATAATACATCACTTAAGAAAATGGTAGTAACAATCAGACTAATATATAAAAATAACAACAACAGAAATTAATAAAACTAAGACATAACAACAACTTAATTCACTTGGTATTGTTTTACTTGAATCTTCCCATTGATGTTTTAGGACTGAAATTGATCAGTGAATGAAGCTTCAACCCAATGCACAAGCAAGTGGCTATCAGGACTCAGTAGCTAAGTGGATAACTCGATGGCGTTTGAAGCGAACGGTACTGAGTTCGAGTCCCAGAGTAAACATTAACTCTGAGATGCAGGTACATCCAGCTGACGAGTTCCAAGCAGGACGAAACTGGCGTCCTGGATTCCACTGCTAGCCACTATCCATCTTTGCTTATAACAACAACTTAGTTATTTAAACTGGTTTAAGTGAAATGGGGGTTTTAAAAAAATGCATATATAATAATGACCATTACAGATGAACATTCAAAATGAAGTCCAATCGACTAATCACACAGCCTTTTAGATTTTGACAATAAAATAATATCAGTAGGGGTTTCTGTGGATATTATAGTAATTCCAATAGTTGAGATCATGAGTTAATTGAAGCTAGACCACTATGGAAAACCTGGCAGCACTGGACGACCGTTTCGTCCTATTGTGGGACTCCTTAGGAGTGCGCATTTACGACCCGCCTCGCGAAATTCGAAAATAAAATACTAATAAAATTGATAAGAAAACTCCATTAGTTATAACTACCAATTTAATAAGCTCACGAATACATACTTAAAAAGGAATAAGTCTTTACACAATTACAGCTGCAATAAAATTTTAGAAAATGTCAACAATGAAAAAAATGCATTACTCAACCAACCATTGTCAAGTAATTATCAATGCTATATTATTTAGTCCTTAATGTTGATTAATTCTTATGGATTGAATAAGTAACGTAATCAGTGAATTAGGTCCTAAGATTGGTTGAAACATTAGTAAATTCACTTAATCAACCCAAGCTTCTACCTGAAGTTTGTGCTGATGATGTCGTTCAGAAGAACGATGAAAGCTCCACGACCAAACCATCCAGTTCAGAGAAAAAAACTCCATCAAAAGTTTTCCAAATGGCTTTGACTGCCAATTAACGAACACATACTATGCATTCCTTATTTATTTCCATATATTTTTACATCCTCCATTCTACTCATACTCCACTCCAGGCACTAAATTTCGTGGACATCACAGACACATAGCTTGCCATATTTAAATTTATAACCAAAGTATTGATATCTAATTCCATTATTATTAACTTGATACATCTATAACAGTGGATGAAGATATGACAGTCAACGACCAAATATACTTTGTTTTGTGACTTCCAACATTCGTTTACAATTGTATGATAGAACGTAAAGAAGTGACTCACATTGCATTCGATTATTGACAAACATTTAAACATCTTTATTGAAAGTAATCATTGTATGTTCAAAACATTCAATATATCTTGAATACTTTTAAATCTGTTATCAACAACAATGGAAAGTGTCACAATAATCCCATTCGTTTTATGTGAAATAAATAACAAAACAAAATCACTAGACCCATTTAACCAAACTGGGTATTTTCAGACGATGACCAAAGTCGTGGTTATTTAAACATAAGCAAACAATCCTTGTTAAAAGGCAGTTTTTTGACGGCGCGGCCAAGAGTGGGGAGACAACTCTACCTCTCCAAATGCTCTCCAGTAGCTACGTGCATACAACTACCAACAGGGAAGTCCTACTCACTGTCTAATCGTGGCGAAAGGCATTTTCTTCACCAAATTGAGAGGACGGAAAGCGAACGTCCGGCGCTCTAACCGGATCGGTGAGCACGAAAAGTCGACTTAGAGTAGTTGGAAAAACCTCGCTCTAAACCAATGGTGCACATGGGCTTTTTATTTATTTATTTTAACACTTAGATATTGGTACAAGGAGGCACCAAATACATATGCGCCACACAAATCTCATTTGATATGTGTGAGGGCCGTGATACTGCCCGGGTGCCCAAACCGAAGCAGGTGGTTTTCTTAGGAGGCCACACTCGGAGACTTCGACCTGGAGGTCTGATCCACATGGCAGTGGAGCATCGTAAGGAGATGCAGTCCCATAATAGCCGGTGACCAACGATTGGTCCATACGCCATTTGTTCCTTCAGGATACTGGAGCCAGCCCATGTGCACCACTGGTTTGGAATCAGGGTTTTCCAACTCCCCTAGATGGGCTCTCTATGTCCGCCAACCCGGTTAAAGCGCCGGACATTCGCTTTAGGTCCTCTCAATTTCGTAAACAACACCTTGGCCACGAGAAGTCAGTGAGTAGGACTTACTTGGTAGAGTCTATATACTTGTGGCCATGTGAGAGCATTTCAAGAGGGAGAGCGGACTTTCCTTACTCTCGGCCGTACCAGGGCATTTGGGGGCAAACTAAAGATCGTGAGGCGAAAAATGGCGTATGAAACGATTGCTGGTCACCGGCTATCATGGGAATGAATCTCCTGACGTTGCTCCACTGCTTTGAGGATCAGGCCTTTAGGTCGGGGCCTCGGAGTGTTGCCCCCTCAGAAAACCACCTGAGTCGGTTTGGGCACCCGGGAATTACCCAGCCCTCACATAAATCAAATGATTTATGTGGCGCATATCTGTTTGATGCTTTCTTGTACCAATGTTGATGTGTTTAAATAAATAAATAAATCAGCTTCTTTGCCGTTAAGATTTAGTTAACCGATGATATATATATTTCGGTATTTAAAGAGATAGTTGGATACTAATTTTTCCTCAGAAAGTGTATTGCACAGCCGTCCACTGTAGTTCTGAAACTTTGATATTGTGCCAAATTTTTTACTCTGGATTCTATTCGTTTTTCGAAACAATATTTTTTATGTTCAGTTTCTCACTCAAATGTTTGCTTTCGTTCGTTTACCTCTAGAGACTCTGAGAATCTTATTATTCTTGATTAATCAATATCTTACAATTACGTATGATGTTTGTCCTAATATCTACTTAATTCTACAAATTTTCTTTTACTGAACTATCACAAAGTGTAGCAACTTTGTGTCTAACACTTTGTTTTGAATTGGTGCTTCTTTTGTATAATGATAATTTCCAGCTGTCATCGAAAATACTCAGGAATTTTAAAGTGCAAAGTGTGTTACAGTTCAGTCACTATAACAGAACTCGAAAAGACGTTGTCTAGCAATTCTGATGAGTTTGTGACGAAAAATGCCAAATAATAAAAGTGAGCTAAATTGAAACTTTTCAAGTCTTACGTATGTGTTAATCTATCACCTGTCCAACATAAATGGTCACTATTTTCCTTTGAATCACGTAGAAGATCCTCACTACAAAGATACTTGATGATGGTAGAAAATGGTTTGCGTATAGAGAGATACTGAAAAAAGTCACCAAAGAAAATCAAATGAACATCAAGAAATTTATTAAACTATACTATGATATTAAATGTAACCAAAACACGCTAAAACTCAATAGAGAAGTATAGGTTTATTTAAGTTGCATCTTCGTTATCAATTAGCCAAGCTTGACTCATTTAATAGAAATATGGAAATATATGTGAAGTTAAGATTGATTGTATTTATAACATAGAACTGGAACATTAATTCCGAAAGTTAACGAGGGTTATTTTTGCGATAATTGCATCTTTGGATTATTAAACTGACAAACTAGCTAATGATGATAATGTTGGGAGAATCGTAACAGAAAATGTCATTTTTTAAAAATTATTTTACTGCCACGCTAGATAATATAGTTGGTATAACTTTAAGAAGTGATTTATGTGATTGTTTATTTTAACTGATAAAACAAATTTAGACTACTTGTTTCGATAGTGAAATGTATTATTTGCATGGACGGATTGAGTCTATTTATCTAATGGTTAAGTGTAATGTCTTTACATACTATTCTGTATATTACGTCCACGATTATGCGATGAAGCTTAATTGTTAAGCTTTATCCATTTACACGAAATAGATTGTGCTTGTTCTAATATGTTGCATTAGTTATTGTGATTTGGCTTACATACAATATCCAATTTGTTTCTCACTAGCTTGTTTTTCTCCATTCTAAAGTTAAGGGATTTGAGGGAAAGTGTGAATGACAGGTTTCAAAGAACTTTCTCCATAGGCAAACCAACAGTGAACGTTGATACATTCATCACACAGAGTGGGACTGACCATCTGTTCACTTTTAGTGGTATAACGGTAGATGATGATAAGTCTGGCATACAACTTCAGTAAAATCGTATGGATATCTGTTCTTCTGAAAGAAGGGTCTCGTATAAATGTCTTGAGTTTTTTGTAATAAATATAGCCCTTTTGGATAACATCTAAAAACAACAAGTTTGTTTATACATAAAAGTATAGCGTTGAAACATTGTAGGGATACATGGAACGATAAAAAAAGCTCCTGTAGTGGCTGGCACTATATCCAAACCCACATAGGTTATTCTAACTTCTGGACAGACCGATCTAGTCATTCTTCTCAAGCCACATTTTGACCTTGTCGGTTATCCGCTTATTAATCCTGACTGTTTCTATATGATCGTATGTATGTTAATTGCTTACCCTATTCATCACCGATCTGTAACTTATTTTTTGTCTGAATATAAATATTGAGTCACGCTTGATTAAAGTGTTTTGGCTCACTTACCTTCTCTGTCGCGCGCCATTTTGTTTCGTTTCGTTTTCTTCACTTCGTTTTCCCGATTGTCTGTTCGGATCAATGGATGTATGCAATATACATAATCAAAATTCATTCTCTTATTTGGCTTATTTTATTTTGCCATTTCCTAACGCGAATTGAGTCGATAAAAATACACGGGGCTTGACAGCATGTATACTTCAATAACAATCAGAATATGATTTAACTGGAGTCATATATGGGGGCTACTAAACTCCTTCCAGTGGACCCTGCTTCGTTTATTAAACATACACAAATCCCGATTATTTTTTACCACTTAACAGTTTGGCATACCTCAAACTGCCAGAAAGTACTAGTATATAAAAGATTATAGACATACCATGATGATAAGTGCAAACAAACACATCTACTTGATGTAAGACATGTTGGTTACCACCAAGCATCTCATTCAAAACAAAGTATAATCAGATTTCATTCTATTTAGCCTACGGATCGCAAATCACTTTATTAGCAATCAGGAGCAAATCATCGTCATAAATACCGCATGATGATGATATCGTAAACACTTTTTCCAATTCGTATCTACACCATAAAAAAATGAGACATTTTCACATGCATATATACAGAAAATATTTATGGATGTGCATACCTTGTTACGAATACTGTCCGCCCATGATTTCAGGATATCATAATTGCCGTAAATATAAGGATGTTTGTAATCCTGAACTAAGGTATCATGATCAACAAATACAAATTCCTGATGTCGTCGTTGCCTAAAATCAGTCCTGGAAGGAAACGACTGATGCTCTTTTGAGTTTTCTAATAAACAGTCACTGAAAAATTCATCCTATACAAATAACATAAATTTAAAAACTAAAACACTCCAATCCCAAAAAATTAAATACGTTTTGTCGTTATTGATTAGTACAAGTAATCTTATATATATATTAGAGGTATTGTTTGAATTTAGGTGCCAAACAACAAGAGCGAAAAGATTGGATGCTGTTGAAGCGTAACAAGCTGGCTGCTGAGAATATGCTTAGCTTTCAAAATATTCATATATTCTGTGCATCTCGGATTAAAAAACGATTGACAGCTATCAGTTAGTAAACTGATAGTAGTTAATGTAGTCCATTATACCACAAGCGGATTGCCATGTCAAATTAACTTATCAATAACGGTATATTACATATGCATACACGATTGACTGGTCCAAAGTTAAACAAAGTTTCCAACTTAGACGATACGGTAAACAACTTGTGTGTAAACAAGAGAACAATTGTATTTGATTTTGTAAAACGATATTACATGATTATATATGATATTTAATGCTTTTTCACAAAATTACGCTGCCTAAGGTTGTAAGAAATAGTTTATTGGTCCCTTCAAGAAACTTGAACCATCAAGTAAGCAACACTTATGATATCATGAAAATGAACTGGAGAAAAAATTGCCCCTTGCATTATCTATAGCAGTTAGTGTTATCAATAACTTTCCATACTGAAAACCGTGTACGTTTTCACTCGATTATTTAAGATGATAACAGATGAGTATGAAGATTCTCATTCACGAAATGGCAATTTCTGCTTGACACGCCGGAGGAATCATATTTACCAACGATTTAAGTAAGGATCAAACATGAAGGTTGTCTGATGAAGCCTTTAACCTAAATACAATTTTATGTTCAATATATGTAGACGCCTGATTAGTCCGATTTCAAAGAATGGTGTTGACCTAGGTGGGAGGGAGGGATAAGAAAGTATTTAGCAACCATGTAGAAATAAAAATATATTGAATTTTCGTGACGAACTGTCCATAACTGGAATAAGGGGTATAGGAAATCTGATTATCACTGAAGACTGTGTATAAAAGCTGAGCACATGTTCACAGGTGTATTAAATCAAATAGTACTTAAAAATACGTACATGATACGTCAACAACTGTGTACATATTCATGTTCTAGATTAAAAGCTATATCTATCGTAATAACCTTGCTCCACAAACACCTTGATGGGCAGTGTTTGAAGTCGGATACTCAAGACTCAGAGTATATTATAAGTTAGTCCACAAACAAATAAGACGTTCAGCTAGAATTTTGTACCACAGCAATGTAACCGTTATACAATAAAGAACAAAAATTAAAAAAGGAAGATTGAATATAACATGATAAACTAATACTTAAGTTTGGATTGAAGAATGATCAATGTCTTTATTGTGTACTAACACAGAAAGTGGCGTATGTTCGTCTAGTGGAACTAATCGATTCATAAGAAGTTAGTTTTATAAGTTTACGCTTGTCAGATGGCAAAGGACATATTCGGACCACTTGACTAGCTATACTTTATGTATTCAATGTCTAGATACATTCCTAAGACCTTTCTCGTCGACTAACGGTTGTAATGTTTTAATAACTTAGAGTCTATAATATCTTACTTTCAATTCATTCAAACTAAGGTGATGTGTATTGGTAGACTAAAGACAAATTAGGAAGAACATAACAACGGCATTATAGATTTTTGAATAAGTATCATCTTATTTTGTAACATATCACAAAACTTCAATATTCGTAGTTTTGAGCTCACTTACCGACTTACAGTTGATCATGGGTACATTTAACAGAACAATATATTGTTGATCTACAGAAGTATATACACCGACAAGTTTATAAAGCCTGTTTGTTATTTAGACAACAATAAAACTGCCATATATGATTTGCTTTATTAACAATGGAAAAATTGTCATGTTCCTCAGAACCTATTCGAATAAAGGATACAAAACGCTTTTCCCAACGAGTCAAGTTGATAAAACTTGATTCAAATAAACTAAACAGCACTGTACAGCAACGTAAAGGATGATGAATTTTCAATTAATAAACGTGTTAGGAGTGAGAAGATGAACAAAAACACTTGTACCAAGACCTTCGGGATAATGTTTGATTAAAAATCCTATAAGGGAAAAGAGGCTCTGGAATTATGAATTAACCAGATAGCTCTAAAACAGAAAGTTTGAACAGGTATAAAAACGTTTGACGCAACGATGTACCTCAGGAATCAAACTTAGTGATCTAAGTACTCAGATTTCAGCTATGCTGCGTTGAAGGCTAGTGATAAAACTCTGTATACTATGCCGAAGAAAGTGAACCACGATCAGCGGTCAAAATTCAGTTGCTAAACTTATGAAATCACCACTCTATATTCAAAATACCGCAAAATTAATAACAAAACTCTGCTGAATAACACGTAAACTTACAGATTGATCCAGTCGAAAAAGTATAGTTTGAAGATTCATGATAGCGTCAGATATATGTATTTGTAATGGTCGAATAACCTGGGGGAAAATTTTGGAGTCTTTTAAACGTTCAGCAACACGAACAACCTGATCTAGAAAAACAAAGTGGATTTCACTTACTTTAAACTTGAAAATAGGGTGGTGTGGAAAAAAAGTTTTTATCGGAATACTTTTAATGGCTAATATGCAGTATGTAATAGGAATGAAACGACGATTAGCATAAGTTGACAAAACACTCTAAAGTTGATGTTAGCCAATATGACTCAACATGAAATCAACCACTTATATTGCAAGAGAATATAGTACCATTATAATAGCCGAATATAATACGGCGGAAAATAAATTTCTCGAGCTAATATAAATGTTTGAGCGTCCAGTGAAAACCAACTTAAATAATTATAAAACCGTAATCCGGAATTACTAGAAGATATAAAACAACAGTTTATTACACTCTTACATTGAGAACTTTAAGCAGCCCCCAAATGCCCTGGTACGGCCGAGAGTAAGGAAAGTCCGCTCTCCCTCTTGAAATGCTCTCACATGGCCACAAGTATATAGACTCTACCAAGTAAGTCCTACTCACTGACTTCTCGTGGCCAAGGTGTTGTTTACGAAATTGAGAGGACCTAAAGCGAATGTCCGGCGCTTTAACCGGGTTGGCGGATATAGAGAGCCCATCTAGGGGAGTTGGAAAACCCTGATTCCAAACCAGTGGTACACATGGGCTGGCTCCAGTATCCTGAAGGAACAAATGGCGTATGGACCAATCGTTGGTCACCGGCTATTATGGGACTGCATCTCCTTACGATGCTCCACTGCCATGTGGATCAGACCTCCAGGTCGAAGTCTCCGAGTGTGGCCTCCTAAGAAAACCACCTGCTTCGGTTTGGGCACCCGGGCAGTATCACGGCCCTCACACATATCAAATGAGATTTGTGTGGCGCATATGTATTTGGTGCCTCCTTGTACCAATATCTAAGTGTTAAAATAAATAATAAATAAATAACTCCCGAACGTTCGAAATTATAACCATCTTTAGTGAAAGAGTACATCTGGTCAATATACCGGACTTGTATAGATTGGCACAAAATTTCGTCAGACTAATGCTTATATATATATAAAGAGAGAGAGATTGCGTGTGTGTGGTAAACGTAGTAACAGTATCAGTGGTAGTATAAAAGAATGCACAGAGAAAATGACTCGAGAATTAAGAATGGATTTGTGAGATGAACCTAGGATCTGAGGGATGATGAAAAATGAGTGCATCTGCAGCAATGTGACTGATTCTGAGCTGCTACCCAACATCTCCAATCATTGGTTACAATAATCACGTGGATCCCAATCAAGTAGTCTGCGTCCACCAACATGGGTCAGGCATTCAGTTAGTGACTTCATAGACGGATGATACGTTCTGATTTCTGCGACCCTAACAAGGGTAACATTCCTACATTTCAAAAAATACGGAACTCAAAACAACTTTCAACCAACATCAAAGTCACAATCTCCAATACGAACGTCAGGACAGCAGCAGCCCCCGCATCAGTAGGCCTCAACATATACAAAAGAAAATGCAAGATCCTCAAATACAATACGGAGAACACCAACCCAGTCACACTTGATGTAGAAGCTCTAGAAGAGGTGGAAACTTTCACGTACCCGGGAAGCATTAATGATAAACAAACAGGATCTGATGCAAATGTGAAGGCACGGATTGCCTAAGTAAGGATTGCATTCGTACAATTGAAGAACATATGGAACTCAAAACAACTATCAACCATTATTAAAGTCACAATCTTCAATATGAACGTCAAGACAATACCACTGTATGGAGCTGAATTGTGGAGAACTACGATAACGATCATCAAGAAGGTGCAAGTATTTATAAATAGTTGTCTACGCAAGATACTCAACATCCATTAGCTGGATACCATCAGTAACAGCCTACTGTGTCAGATAACAAACCAGCTTCCAGCTGAAGAGGAAATCAAGAAAAAACTTTTGAAGTGGATAGGACATACTTTACGGAACTCACAAAACTGCATCACAAGGTAAGCCCGAACTTAGAATCCTGAAGTGGGGTGGAAAAGAGGAAAGTTGAAGAACACACAGTGTCGGGAGTTGGAAACAGACGTGGAAAGGATGAATAAAGACTGGAAAGAATTTTTCCTGTACAGAGTTGGATGGAGAATGCTGGTGGGCAGCCTATGGTCCTTCACGAGGAGTAACGGGAGTAAGTAAGCAAGCTTATATATGTGTGGCGCATATATATCTGGTGCCCAATTGTACCAATGTTTATGTGTTCAAATAAATAAATAAATAATAAGCTTTCTTTCAACCTACCAAAACACTAACAAACGTCATACATGGAGATGGACAGCGGTTATGCCCATAAGTGTCCTGTATTGTCCCAACCACCTTAATCGATGGATATTCGCTACACCACCAACCAATCTTCCACCTTTCTCTGGTACTACTTATCTAACCTCAGCACCGGTACTTCGACAGTTCTGACATACGCGAGTAATGCTTAGAGGGTATGTATGGTCAAACACTACTAACCTATGAATAAGTCTTACTTTTAAAGGTTACGCCCAAATTTGGGCGTTGGTCATGTTTTGTTAATGTCATTCGAGAAACTTTCACGTGCTGGATTTTTTGTCAACTCTTATTTATTTATTTGAACACATATATATTGGTACAGGAGTGCGCCAAATATATATGCGCCACACAAAACAATGAGAATTTGAGAAGAAAAAAAATGAGGAACGTAAAAAAAAACAATAATGAAGAGATTGGTATAAGGGAGTGTAATAATAATAATAGTAATAATGAGGGAATGGAAAGGTACAATCAGAAGAAATCTTTCAGTTAAGGAAGATACATCCTTTTATTATGAAGAAAGTAAAAGGGTACAGAAAGATCGCCACTGACTTCTATTCTGAGCCATATCTGATAACGTCTCTAGCCACTGTGTTGCACCATCTCTCGGACCCCGATCAGGGAGTCGTGAAGGACCGAGAGAAGCCAGCCTTTGCAGCTTTCTTTCATGCCACGACACCATGTCATGCACTGACCACCACTCCGCTTCTTCCAACCAGTCCCAGAGTCGGCAAATAATGCACGACGTGGAATTCTCTGGGACGACATTCGGAGAACATGTCCAAGCCACCGAAGTCGATGTTTCAAGATGGTGACACCAATTGAATTATCATCTCTGTGCCCGAACACACGATGCCGAACCTCGGCATTACTGACATGGTGTTGCCACTGAATGTCAGCAATCCTTCGGAGACAACGATGATCGAACACAGAGAGTCGTCTAACGTCCTCAACTCGGAGAGACCAGGTTTCACAGGCATAGAGCAAAACTGCTCTCACTGACGCGTTGTAAATCCGACATTTTACAGCCAGACTAACATCACGAAGGCGCCAAAGATGGACCAGATTGGCATAAGCCGCTCTGGCTTTCACTATACGTGCATTTATCTTATCACTCACGCCACCACCAGCACTTATGCAGCTACCCAGATACACGAACTTCTCGACTACTTCTATCTGCTCACCATCCAGGGTTAGTACAGGATTGGAATCCTGCCAGTCTTGTCGAAGTACTTTGCACTTCGAAGGTGCAAAGCACATACCATACCTACGGACACTGATTGCCAACTGATTAAGTGCGGATTGAATGCCTTGGGCATTATCGCACAGTAAGACAATATCGTCCGCATACTCAAGACCGAGAAGTCTTTCTCCAGGCAACAAATCCACACCACCATTACTTACATCCATCAGAGCTGTTTCCAGAATGTCGTCGATGGCAAAGTTGAAGAGTAATGGTGAGATTGGGCAACCCTGCCTAACCCCACTGCTCGAATAGAACAATGAAGAAAGGTGATTGTATGCCCTCATTCTCCCTGAGGTGTTTGTATATAGGGCTTTTAGGATGTTAATAAACTTCTCAGGCACACCCTTCTTCAATAGACAATCCCAGAGAACAGTCCTATCCAACGAATCGAAGGCAGCCCTGATGTCAAGAAACACTACGATTGTTGGCCTTTGAAAAGTATGGCGGTGTTCTCACATTTGGCGGAGGGTGAAGATATAATCAATACATCCTCGACCAGAACGAAACCCAGCCTGCTCCTCGCGAGTCAATCATTCTCAGGCTTTGAACAACCTACGAAGTATGACGGAAGCCAACAGCCTGAACACAATCGGAAGTAGACTTATCCCCCGATAGTTGTTACAGGAACGACGTGAACCCTTTTTAAAGATAAGGACAACTATCGACTCATTCCATGACGTTGATACACTCTCTAGCTCCCGTACCTTAGTAAACAACGTCGTCAGTTCCTTAGTCAGAAAGTCACCACCATCTTTAAAAAGAGCTGAAGGTAAGTCATCTGGGCCGGGTGATTTGTAGCGCCTCAAGAGTTGGAGTTCCTTGCGGACTTCCGCCTCATTTGGTGGATCAGTCGTCACCTGCCATGGGGGGGCAGGACAGTCTGACCGATGCTGCCGGAGCAGCAGGCCAGACGAAATGTACTTCGAAAAATTCTGCCCATCGTCCAAGACGTCGATGGATGTTAGTGATTGGCATCCCATCATCCTCGCAGATTGTTTCGCTCACACCAGACTTCTTGCTGCCAGTGGCTCGGATGAGTTAGAAGAGCTTCCGGTAATTACCAGATGCAGCTGCTGCTTCCAGCTCATTAGCACGCTCCGACCATCAGGCTTCTCGGTCCTTACGCAAGCTTTGCCCAATTTCGCCACGTAACAACCTTCGTTTGTGGTCAAACTCACGGTCACCCGGAGTAGACCGACGGGCTTCAATGAGTTGTAAGGAGCCTGAAGAAACCCAGTGCTTATAAGCGTTGTCAACTCTGAGACTTGATGGAGGCGATTAGAACATGGTATAAAAAACCGGTGTACAGGACTGAGATCCATTAGCCCAATCACAACTCCCTGGTTGAGTTTTAAAAATATAGATTAAAGCGTCGGACGCAAACACATACATCCAACCTCTTGTGACCAAACTACCTTAACTTATAGTTACGTAGACGGAAACAAACCGCTCAGAACTTTACTATGCATAGATTATTCCCATCTGAGCTAATACTAAGACGATATTATAAACATGAAAAATTAACTCCTAAGACAATACTGAAGGAGCTAAACAAGCCCTATTCGGAATTTAAAGGCAGCCAATACACAGTGAGTCTGTCACGATTTCATCAACAGACTGTCTGTAATTTTCGATAAAGACAGGAACTTCGTTTAATAAATAAATGGGACAGGCGTTTTGTAAGTCGGCATCCAAACAACATAAAAATAATACCTTTATGTAAATAACATGAAATATTCAACCTACCAATAAATGATAGCCAGTATTTATCAAAATCAGTCCATAACAAAAAACATGTGGACAAACGACTAAAACAACTATGTCGACAAATGAGGGGTTGGATTACTCCTGAACATAAATTACAGTAACGTAGTTTAATCCATTCATTTATACAACTATCATTCACTGTAATCTGGAAGTAAAAAATTAACAAATATTTTACTCATATGTCTAACGTCTCAAAATTTCGAAGTTAAGAGACAAAAAGTAAGGCGGTCCTGAGAAATCTTAATATAGGGGATGGAAGATGAAATCTTACCGATGAAACCAAATTCAAACTGTCATTGGATTTTTGAACAATCTCGTAGTTCGACGTTATCAATTTCACGACTACCAGTAGCATACAAAAAATTGTGTCTTTATCAATGAGTGTTTAACCTCATTAACTGCTCTATCTTATTTAACGGGTGTTGTAATCAACCTCAAATTTACTTACTCGGAGATTACACCCAAACAACTCAGAAATTCTGATGAGACCTTGATAACACGTTACAATTAGAAAAACGTCGCTACGGAACCAAAACAGAACCAAACTACATTTTACTTTAGCTTTCCCGACCGTTGTTGCTACCTTGACGTGGTGGTCGGGCTTGCCTATCGTGATAAACCAACCGAGCTATACTGGCTGGAACAACCGTTCCTCAACGTCCTACCATGTCAGACAGGTCGGTTGAAGAGCGGCAAGACCAAAAGCGACAAACCTAAGGTCCGAAGGCGAAGTCGTACTGCTGACTGTACAGAGGTGTGACAGCAGTAAGGTGTTTCCTTCAGACAACCAGCATGACAGCGATGCTGCCTTCCCACAAGGAGGGGTGGGGTTAGAAAAGATCGACCCCAAAAATGCACACCTCGCCTTATCCCACGGATATCCGTCTCCGGCGGTAAGGTCTCCACAAGTACGGAGCTAACACAAAAATTACTCATAAAAAGGTCGTGTGTGACCGACCACAAGCAGTTGTCCCTTGGGCACTGCGGTAACGCTCTCAGGTCACTAAAACCACCTCTAATCCAATTCCCTTTTTAGGTACCTCCAGAAGAACCCTTCCACGATGTGGGCAACCGGGAAGTGATAACCGCCCTCATACCTCTAACAGCACTCAAGACCACTGTATTCATAATAAACCCCCGTCTTCAATTCCTATTATTCCTCCTACATCGACTTCCAACGCTAAACTTCCTCTTTCGGCTTCCTCCTCAAGTGTCACCACAGCCAACGATTCTAGTGCTCAAAACACTGTAGCAGGTCTATTGCAACCTCGCTCCAAACTACACATTGGAGCTTTCAACGTACGCACTCTATGTCAAATCGGTCAGCAGGCTTCCTTGGCTAGAACCCTAGAATCTCGTACCATTGATGTATGCTGTGACTCTGAAACACACACACAGGATTCCAGTGTGGTCATTCACTTGACCTCACCTCGGCAAAACGGAGAGCCAACGAGATACACCCTACGTGTATCTGGTGACCCGATGGCCAGTTCTCGTGGACTGGCAGGTGTAGGCATAGCACTAAGCATGAGGGCGGAAAAAGCACCGCTAGAGTGGATCCCCGTCAACAGTCGTTTATGTGCTGTTCGGCTAAACGGCTCCGTATAAACTCGGAAGGATAGGGACACACGTCGTTGCCGTTTCGTCGTTTCTGCCTACGCTCCCACCGACTGCAGCTCAGATGAAGTGAAAGATGAATTTTACAGAAAGCTATCTGGACCTCTTCAGAAAGCTAAACGTTCAGACATAGTACTCGTAGCAGGTGACTTTATTGCCCAGATAGGTAGTTTAAGCCAAACAGAAAGGCATTTAGGTGGGTATTTTAGCATTCCGGAACAACGAACAGATAATGGTGATCGTCTGCTGCAACTGTGCTCAGACAATTGTTTATTTTTAGCAAACACAAATTTTAAGCATAAGGAGAGACATCGTCTAACATGGCAACCCCCTACACCAAACCAACGATGAACTCAAATAGACCAAATTTCCACCAGTCATCGTTGGAGAGGGTCGGTAGAAGATTGTCGTTCATTCCGGAGAACCTGCTTGGACTCCGACCATGCCCTAATACGGGCACGCAACCAAAAGTAGGTTTCAGGAACAACCGGGGTCACACTTAGGTAGTTCTGAAAACGAAGCTGACCCTGATGTTGCTTGGAAAGATAAACAAACAGCAGTGACATCTATCAGTGATTTAAACCACAGGGTTACAAAGAACCAATGGATTTCTTCAAGGTCTATTGCACTGATGGATTCTTGTAAACTCATCCCATCGGGTTTTGAAAATGATGAAGATCCTAAAAAATCAGATCTAGGTTGAGCAAAAGTCTAAAGAACGACCATGAGCAGTGGTGGGCAACGAAAGCAAAAGAGATGGAAAAGGCGGTGGCTATAGGGAACACAAGATAGCTCCACAGACTAATAAAAGAAACTGGAATTAATAAGTCAAGTGTAAGTGAGATTATATCGGAAGAAGACGACACTCTCATTTGCTCCCAGTCCAGACGTTTAGAACGATGGACGGAACATTTCAGAGAACAGTTCAGCTGGCCTTCAGCTACTCTACAACTACCCTCCATTCCCAGACAGTGTGAATGGAACACTGAAGTAGGTCCCCCAACTCTAGCAGAATTTCAAAAGGCTATAGTTAATCTGAAACGAGGAAGGGAAGCTGGTCCAGATGGATTGGCTTCAGAGGTCTTTGAGGATGGTGGTCCAATTTTAGCGATTAGGTTGACTAATATTTTAGCTAAGATCTAGAAGTTAGACGTTGTCCCATCTGACTGGTCACAATCACTTATCGTTCCAATATATAATAGAAAGTCAAAATCATCCAGTGACAACCATAGAAGGATTAGTTTAACTAATATAGTATCTAAAATACTAGCCTCAATAATTATCGGACGCCTAACTAAGACTCGTGAACTGTAAACACGAGAGAACCAAGCTGGCTTCAAACCTGGTCGTGGATGCATCGACTACAAATTCACTATTCCTCAGGTTCTAGAACACAGACATACTTATCAGCGTCCGGCAATGGTGGTCTTTCTTGTCTTAAAAGCAGCTTTTGACTCTGTAGACCGCGAGATTCTGTGGCAGTGTCTGTCATTGAAAGGAGTACCTCAGAAGTACATAAACCTTGTGAAGATTCTTTACTCCAACACTACTAGTCAAGTTAGAGCTTATGAAGAACTGTCATCTGCTTTTGCAACCTGAAGCGGTGTCCGTGAAGGCTATCAACTTTCTCCAATGTTGTTTAACTTCATCATAGATCTAATGATGGAAATACCATTCTCGTCGACTGAATTCTCGGGTATTGATCTCCATCCAGGAGGTCCACTTATCGACTTACAATATGCAGATGACATAGTCCTGTTTGGTCAAGACGCTGATAAAATGCAGAGCCTTCTGGTAGCACTAAGCAACAATGCCAGAATGTTTGGAATGCGCTTCTCTCCCTCCAAATGCAAGTTGTTGCTTCAGGACTGGTTTGCGTCTACACCTGAACTAAGGATAGGGAGTGAAGTGGTCGAACGCGTTGACAACTTCACTTGTCTTGGAATTATGATCAGCCCTAATGGGTTAGTGTCTGACGAAATCTCAGCACGGATTCGAAAAGCTCGTTTGGCTTTTGTAAACCTACGTCACCTATGGCGAAGGCGAGATATCCGTCTATCGATTAAGGGACGAGTATACTGCGCGACAGTTTGTCCTGTTCTATTTACCGCTGCGGAACGTGCCCATCACGAGTAGAAGACACTCGTAAGATACTAGTATTTGACCACAGATGCCTTAGAAATATTACTGGCGTCTGCTGGCATCACCGGGTAAGTATTAGTGGGGTTAAATGTAGGGTACTAGGGAATCATGGTAAATCAGTTGATGAGGTTGTGAATCTTCATCGACTGAGATGGTTGGGCCACGAGTTACGTATGTGCGAACACCGATTACCACGACGCGCAATGCTATCCTATATTGGAAATGGTTGGAAGAAAGTTAGGGGCGGCCAAACCAAAACGTGGCATCAGTCCTTGAAATCACTAATTTCTAGTCTGAGCCATGTTGGTAGATGCAGACTACTTGGTGGGGGTCCGCGTGACTATCGTAACCAATGGTTGGAGACTCTTGGTGACATGGCTCAGAATCGGTCACAATGGCGTAGGTATATACACTCTCTGTATTCCCTTAAACTAAGAGATTAAAATCGCTTCATATCTTTCTTTCTACGAACTAATTCTTTCTTCCTGTACTATATCCTTATATGCGACCTTTCTTTTGTATATCACCACCTCTGAATTAACTACTTTTATGAATCCGGTGTTCATCTTGTTGTGTTAATGAGGTATGGCAACTTGGACCGATGCAATATGTGCCTGGTCCTACGTTTTAGCTGACTGACTTATTTTAGCTTCGATTATGCGAAGATTAATCCAGTATATAGTTAGCTCATTAGGGCTTAACTCAGTACCTAATATTACAAAGATATTAGGAATAAAGTGAACACCACTTGTTCTAAATAACTTAGTTGTTTCTAATTGTTAATTAATCACTAATGCTATACCGTAGTCAAGTACAAATAAGTGCACAAGGCTATGGGCTTTGTTTAGATTTGGTCGTCTGAAGCAAGAGTAAATTTTGAACGTGAAACGCGATTGAAAATGAACTAATATAAACTAAGCCTTAACTAGAAAATATACAAAACTAGTACAGGCACAGTAAGTTAGTTGAATAGCTTGCAATTTGTTTGTAAAAGTTTGGAACAACAAATCAAGAATGACTGGTGTCGCTTACCTTTGATAAAAACTGAACCACATGATCTCCTAAAAGGAGACTATTCCTAAGAATCCTAGGAGGAGGAAATGCGCGAGTTGCCATAAACCTTATTATTTCAGGCGCCTGATCAAATGGCTTCAGAGGTCTCAACTTGGATGCAACGCAGTTGGCTACAATACTATCCGGTTCAGTTTTTACAAACAGCATTACATGGAGTGCACGAATTAGCAGGCCATCGAAAAAGTCATCAACCAACGACGCTATATTTTGCCGGTTTCCCAGCATATAACTTTCCAGTTCATGGAAGAATGCCTCAACAAAATCCTTGTTTTGATCATAGTTATATCCGTACGAGTTTACAAAGAGGTCATGAAAACTTTTCAATGTTAGCTTTAAACTCCCTAACATATAGCCTGGATCATTAGTCAATGTTATGTAACAAACCTTGCAGATAACGAGCGTCTTCCCTTAAATTTTGACTTATGTTAAGCCAGAATATGCGCCAGTGCTTAGTGAATTCAGATGCGCCAATAGACACAATGTTTTTCAGCGCCTCCTCATTACAGCAATCATTAAACTCAGATCCGCCGTTCTCTCTGCACAAATTGACCAATTGATCTAAAGAAAACAAAATGTGGCTTTAATACAAGCGTTACTAGATTCAATAGGACGGGAAATGTATTTATTTAAGATTTCTCTAGCCAACACACAATGTGAATCAACACTCTTGAACTCTGCAAGCCACAGGTCTTCAAATAATATGATGACGAAAACTGCATTGTGAACCCACATTTCCGCCTGAAAATTACATATCTAAATGTATGGCTCGTGTCTAACCTGAAAGTACTTTGAATGCAGGCGAAGTGCAGAACTGCGTGATCATAGAGAGCTTCGGATGATAACAACAGAATTGAGTTGAGTCAACAACCATATAGATTGCGATTACATTTAATAATGGGAGCGATCGAAAACAATTAGAAACTAAACAAGAGTGGGATAAGCAAAATCTGTTAAACGACACTTAGTTGTAATTCGCTCCAGATATCTGTTTGCTTTCTGATTGGTTCACTTTTACAAACATTGAAGTGAAGGTCATTGCCATATAATCCTCCACATTCACGAGGTCAAACGCTGTCAATTGACCTATTTATACAAATGGTTGTTGCTATTTTGTTGATCATGCAAGATTCAGTATTATTTCTCGCTATCACAATTCCATTATGATACTGTCAACTTCGAGAAGATTTAGCAATCCTGATACCCTACTATTTGTAGTCTTACGCTAACTGTGACAAAAATGCCTTTCGAGCAAACCATGCACTGGTAACATTGAAGCGCATTTTCGGCCAGTTTGACGGAACAACTTTCCACATAATCTCCAACAGTTTTATTCGTCCCCATTTAGAGTAGGGAAACATAGTATCTCCTCACTCCAAAATGTTAAGAACACTGGAGCTATCCAACGGCGGGCCACGAAATCTGTCCGAGAACTCAAATTCAAATCTTATGAAAAGCACCGCCAATCCCTTAACCTTTACCCGTTAGAGTATAGGCATCTAGAAACAACACAAATAAGGCTATACAGAACTACGTTAGCACAAAGGAACGTATTGCATTTGGAAATCCAAATCAGGCACACATCAGGTACAAAAGAATCATTAGATCATGCAAACAACACAGCCGCCACAGCTTTAGTAGGAATATAAGCCTCAGTAATCAGTCAAACATCTTTTTAGGTTCATTATATATCTCTCAACCTGTGTATTGGATACAGATTCAGTATGACCTAGAACATACTGATTAATATTAGAATTAACAAATAGAATTGACTTGTAGAATTATGGTCTACTATGATATTAGTAGACCTGATCCTAAAATTGTGGATTTGTCATGATGTAACTGCCTAATCTGTAAGATCTTACATGTAAGTCATACCATTATCTACACCAACTCATCGCATCGTAACAATCACCAATACATGATGGAGAACAATCTTAGGCTAGAGACAGAACAATATATTTTATATGAATAAAAGATTATGTCACAACGCATAAGGTTGACCACGCCTGCAAGGTCAGGCCATGCCATCCGATCAATTCAATTCATTCTCCCCTCCTTCTCCATCGTTGTGTTTTTCTCCGAGTTAAATATTAAACATCTATTTTCCCAGTTATCTCGTGTTCAGCAAAACAATCTATTGGGAAATATGCATCTGCCTCATGCTTATTAGAATAATTTTTAACTAGGTTTGAATTTTCTGTCTGTGCAAACTTCACATCTGAACAAACGGGTTCTTTGACTGATTCGGGAAAATTTGTTGTCTTGTGACTCGTCATACCACCGACTGGGGATTCTACTCAACATATTGTAGCGGTAAATAAATCTTCAAAATAAATAGCTCTGTAAGTTTTCGACATTGGATGCTGACCATATGTTTTAGTGGACTCATCTAGCTGAAGGCGCTCGGTCATGCATCAGTACCGGATCACGTGTGGTAACGCCGTGCCCAACATCTACCGCAATCGCTAACCAGATTAGATCAGAGAATTCCGATATATTGGTTATCGCCAAATACACTCTTCCGATCTCCTGGACTCTGAATTTTGATTCCTCTTGGTGGTTACGAATTATATTAGAAGTGTTACTGGTAAAGGCGTTGTCAAACACTGAATACCTGTGTCATCTTCAATATATTGTGAGAACATCTGATACAACATCGGAGTTGTGACTGGAATTCGACTTATTCGGAACATATTTGTCACACTGACTAGCGGATTCATTAGGGGTGACCTCATGATGAGGATAAACAATAGTTGTTATAGAACCATCCGAATTGAAACCAAAGTCGAGCTCATTTAGTACGAATGCTTCGCATTGAAAAATTTTCCCACAAGAAACAGATGCATTGAAATTTGTATACTTTACATGGTCTGGTAGTAGTTCATTGACAGGAAGGTGAAATCGGCTTATCTGAGAATCCCAAAATTTTTTACAAGCTCTGGACTTTTTGCCGATGAATTTGAGGAAATGAACCGTTTCATTCACAAACTCAATATCTTCATTGTTCATAGTCCGAATTTCAAACCTTTCAAAATAGTCCTCAAAGACAGCCCAATTTGAATGTATGTCCAACTATTCCATCACAGACTTGATCGAAACACCAGTGTGATGATTAGAAGTATTTGAACTATTATATTGAGTAAGAATCCCCGAAATAACTCAATTATTGCCAAATATAACCAATTGATCACAATGAAACATATTGATTTTGGAATTTGAAATAGGGCAGTCATCAAGTACAAAGAAATCACTAGGTCATACAAACACCTTACAGCTTTCTAAGACTTGCAGATGTTTTGTACACGATGTCGCATCTCTGGCAGCAGCTTAACATCACCTGACTCATAAAGGACGACACATTTTATGAACTTCAGAGTACCAACAGCCAGTTAACACTTAGAAGTCATGCTTACTGCTCCGCTCATAGCAGTTGTTCAGGATACGTCGGTTAACCGGGGTGAGGTTTTACTAGATGCGAAAACTAACTCGTCAGCTATCAGAGCAGTCCTGTCTAAAATTGCAGAAGATGGTTATGAGTGGGTCATAGCTTCTGCTAGTCAGCGGCTGGATTAAAGGGAAACGGGATATTCTACAACATGCCGGGAAATGCCGGCTGTAGTGAAATTGTTGCGGCATTTTTGCCACTACGTCATAGGATGCACTTTTCGTACATTCATAGACCATCATGCATTCCAGTGGCTTCGTTCGTTTCTCGAGCCAGAAGGTCAAATGGAGCGACGGCAGGAGCGTTTGAAGATTTCTGCTTTACGTGTGAGTACCGACCTGAAAGCCGACATACAAACACTGATTCTCTATATATCTTATTCCCCTGTTATTAGAAACAAATTAGACCTATTTCCATTGCCATATAGAAGAACCAGATGGTATTTAATTACGATAAATCTGCATCTGATATGCCCCAATTTTTCTTGTCTTTCGTAACAGAGGAGTTACAAAGACACTTCAATAAAGTTCACAAGCCCAGGACAAATTACTTGTCAGCTGACTATCGAATTTCCCATCGAATCATCAACGAACTGAATTAGTTACCTCAACACGTGATTGAAGCTCCATCTGTGGACTCTTTCAAAAGAAAGTTTTATCAACTGAGAGATCATCGTTGTCAGGATTAACACGGGCCACCTAGCTTTACCAAACGCCGATAACGTGTGTTACACATAATTGCCTTGGTTTGACCGCTTCTGCAAAACCTTACGGACAGTCGAGTTGATGCACCAATCGTTTGGCGACAATTTGACCTTCAAGTGCTCAGTAACCTCCATCAATGGACGATGCAACTGGTAGTGGTGCACGTGCTATCGCCATTTGTTATCGATTGCTTTCACTGTTGAATTCGAGTGCATCCTATTCGCTTACAAGATCATTTGCTAACCTTCCATATCATTCCTTTTCTACCAGATTTACTCTCTACTCTGCTCACTTTTTCAACTCAACATACTTTCAGCATAGACTCGAAGCGCTGCACAAATGCTTACTGCCTGCAGAGAGGTTTATTTATCTCTAAAACACTCATTCATAAGCTGGAATTTAAGGTTTGCTTTTTAAAAAATTTGAAGCATCACTTACAGAAATGGTATTGTTAACGAGACTTCTCTACCTGATGTTGTGATGTACGTCTTATGTATTTCAAGTAATTAGGTTTAGTGATTCAGAATTTGGCAGACGAGTTCCTACTATCTCACTCTTGACGGTTTCTTCGAAGGGTTCATACCTGTCTGCTGCAGATAACCTAAAGCGGCTGTTTCTTTATGTTAATGAAAATGACCACTGGTTATTGGTTTCACAATTGTAGGTGACACTCATATTCGTTTAAATTTGTTTAGGAAGCTGCGCAAACAGGTATCGTGTCTTTTTTTTTCTCCAAGTGAAAAAGCACTACTTGTTGGAGACAAGTCGGGAGATGTTTTCAAACTCACTCTGTGTCCGGAGAAGCCCATTCACGATACAGATTTGACTCTTCTTTGCGGACATTTCTCAATACTTAGTCACATGGTGAGTGCTTCTTCTGTCATTCTAACTTATTAGTTGTCGTCGTGTTGTTGAATTTCAGGTTGGGAACTTCATGAATTATCCTGTTTTGCTTTTCAACTACACGTTGATATTAAAGCTTGTGATGCTTTCTAGATTCACAGATTAAAATAGTTGGAATTCTAAACTTAGTGACCGAAGTCTGATTACCACAGTCACTAAGCGACTAGTCAACTTATGTGTTACCGTTATTTCCTTTTCTTACTACCCTCTAATTGTATCCATATTCCCAAAAAGTTCTGTCTTACAGATGTCTTAATCCGCGTTTAACTCAGCATAGAATGAACTCAGTATGCTACATTAATCTAAACAAAATAGCAGGGTAATATAGTTGGACCCATTGACTCATACGGAACTCTGTCTTTCTAAATAGGTAACAAAGCAAAATCACCCAGAGAGAGCGACTGCTCGTCTGTTTCAGTCCGATTATATAGTCTGCCGAATTCCTCGGATGTATGAAATAATAATCCGTATTCTGACAACGGTTCCCAGTGTGTGGACACAATTCATTCACAGTAGCCTCTCTAAATGAATGAGTGCACACATTAAACTGATATCGGGATATCTTTCGAAAAGCCAGTATTTTTGAAAACATATGTTGTGAATAACAACGGTATGTTTGTTCGTTTTTCATTCTACCCAAGTCGCAATATTATTATTATGTTTCTGAGACGATATGACACTTTTCTCCGAAGTAGCTTTATTCTTTATTTCTTGCTTATCTTCCTCGTAAGACTTGTACTAAACATAGTGAATTATCAGTCAAATATGGCTTTATCTGCTAAAATGTGGCTCATACTTTATAAGGGCTAACAAATACACTTAATTAAGTAGGAGTATCAACTGGTTACGAAACTTCCGTGGAATGCTTTTAGCAGTTATTTACGGTTTCTCATTCTTCACATGACATGGGTTTTTAATTGTTGACTTTCCGGACAAGTGATATTTTATGCTTCAAGTTCCTGATTATAATCTTAGTTCATTCATCGCATTTATAAGAATTTCCGTCTATATGCATTTTTCTAGTTAGATACTGATACTAACGTTTATATTGCACTTTTGTATGACAACTTATTATGTACATCTTACGGTTTATTAGGCTATTTCGGAGGATGAAATGTACTTGGCGTCTTGTGATCGTGATGAAAAGATACGGATTAGTCGATTTTCTGAACCCTATGTTATCCAATCATTTTGTCTTGGTCATAAATCGTATGTTGAGTGTGTTGGACTAACTTTTAAAAACAAACAACAGGTTCGTTTCTCAGCTTGGATTTATTCCCGACACTCGATATTTAATCTCAACAGGAGGAGTAAGTTGGAAGGCTCGCTACTTTTAATTGATCTAATTCTTCATTTTCACTACTATAGTTTCTTCAAAGGATTGGGATTGGTAGTTATCGCTCACCTTTTGTCACAGAATCTTTTATCATGTGGTTATTTTTGTCAGTTTACCAACCAATATAGTTCTTAGAGTTTCTGAAATGCATAGGCTTTTAGAAATAAGCTGACCATTGAGGTCCGAATAATGTTTCAACATATGTAACTACACTGAAAGTAAATAGGGTTTTTATCATCTCAAAATATGTATCCTTGAGATTGGAATTCCGAAGCATTTTTACTGATTATGTCATTGTAATTCTCATCACATTGTGTTATTCTATCAACCCACTGACAAGGCGCCCAAATTTTATGTTTGTTGGAGTTTAGGACTGGCAGACAATTTTCACTTTTGATGCTGCACAATCTTAGTGTATTAGGGTATGCTTTTCACTACTTATCTTAATCAACATGTTTGATACTTTCATGTGATCACTTTGCCAAGTTATTCCTAGTTCACGGGTAAAAGCGTTAGTCACAGTCCAAAAACCAGACAGATCCAACTAAAACCTGAATATTTTCCCGAATATATCAAAGTAGTCTTAATTGGAGGCTTCAGTGTACGAGTATGATGGTTAGATCAAAAAGTAATTTTAAAATCCTAGTTTGAGGAGCCGCAATATTCCTAATCTTGATCGTATTCATAATCCACTTTATCCTCAAGCTCCTCTGGTTTTTCACACTGATAATAAAAAGTCATTTTGTTAGAAATCGGTACAAAAAATAATCTGGAAAACCTGTAAAACCTAATGTACATGATTCCATCTACGAACAAAGGGCATATGCCGTAGTAATGACCACTTATCAAATACATCAATCTCCAATAATTGTCGTTCTTTGAATTATGTAGCTATCTTAACTTAGTTTACGTTCATCGAATTTCAGCCTGTTTATCGTGTTTTTTAATTCTCTCAGTTTCATGATATTTGAAGTTATGCTTTTCATAAGCTGTATTAGTTGACACATATTACGAATGCATCTAGTCTGATACCAGATGAAAAGTAGTCCACCGGATACTAAGTTGTTCTGACTGACCGGAGCTGGAACTCAGTTGTTCAACGCTACACAGAAACTTCAAAAAAATTGCTCCCGGTTCTCTATACTCACCAGGTTTCTACTGTAATTAATCATTTCCATAACTTAATTTAAACCAACCCTTTTAGATGATACGGAGTTAGTAGAGTGGCCCTCTAAAAAACCACCCTTTTATGGTTTGAGGACTCGGACAGTATCGCAACCCGCACGCAAATAGAGTTAAAACTGCTTTGTGACTTATATATATATTGGTGCCCTTTCGTACCAATGTTAATAGGTTCGAACAATTAAAAACAAATGTGTTTCTTGTCACACTTATAAATTTTGGATTTAGTGTCTTGGACCATTTAGAGCTTTCTGCCGGTGAAACGTGGTTAGAAAAGGTTGAATTTGGTGTAAAGTAAGTGGTTCGGAAGGGCTTTGTTTTGTGTTTCTTTGGTAATCCTAAAAAAGACTTCGATATATCAATAAAACCTTGACACTTCTGATATTTTCAATTTACATCACTAGCTCAAGTTGAATGTACATCAGCTACATCATGATAAATAATAAATGCATAAACCTAGCTGTGACCGATATTAAACTATCTAAGCTAGTTGTCTTTATCATTTTGTAATATGAAAATTTAGTTGCAGTGGGGCACCAACAAGAAATAATCCGTACCGATGCAGAGATAATTTGAACTCCTCAGCAGTGCGCATCCACGATCCCGCTCGCGGGATTCGGACCCAGTGCTTCCAGGTTTTCAATTGTGGTGGACTAACATCAATCGGTTCATGATCTCAATCAAAAACTTAACAATCTCCACAACCCCTATACTAATAATTTGAACTGACACGTAATTGCGTAAAAACTCATGGTTTTTCTGTCTATATATTTGTTGGCTTACATTGTCTATTTTTCTCCTTAATTTAGGATGGATATATAAGTATTTGGAATTGTGAGTCGGGTCACTGTCTGTCATCGTATTATGTTTCAAAAAGTGAACTCCAACCTCTCTCAGTTTCTACGGATTCGCAGTTCAATTTTAAGTCGGAAGCTGTTGTTTCTAGGTTTTATTTTATCAAAGATGTTGTCGTTTGTTGTTTTTTATCGTAAGTTGAACTTTCAAGCTCTATTAGCTTTTTTCTTATCTGCTAGGCTGTCTATAAAGAAGGTAGATACCAACACAAAACCTTATACAATACTGCACTTTCAAGTTGTCCGTAAACTGTATAACGACCAGAAATCTCATGTATTATAATAAGTTTAAATAGCTTTCACAATGTTACCGTCCATGATGAAAGGAATTTTAGTTTTTTGAAACAAATTCCTAGGCAAGACGAATTATGTTGGGATCCAAACTTACAAAGTAAACTTGCGGATGCTGAATTAGTATTGAACTCAAGGTAAAAGTGTACTTCTTGACTAAATATTATCCAGTAATCCTTGTTGCGTCACCATCAACTCTAAAGTGCGATACTGGCCGATTAGGGTTAGGTTGGGTAAAGTCGAAAAATGTCCAGATCAAAGTTGCTACTGCGTTTCACAAGTTTTGACTTGATCTTACCTTTAGAAGATCCAGATTTTCTGTATAAGGTATTAAATACGACAGATGAAGCGTGATAATAAAAAACCCCACTCATTTTATCATTAAACCCTGGACGTTTTGTAGTTTGTGATTCACATCCCATTCTAAACTGCTACCGTCGCTATTTGTTTTCATAGTTTTTCTTTTCTCTGTACTGTTACGAAGTATACAAACTCTATGTTATACACGTTTGTATGAAATTGTACATCAACACTCGTAACCAGCTCCTTGCCTCACCAAATTTAATAAACAATCATCACTTTGAATAAATTGGAATCTTTTATTGAGTATTTTCAGTTTTCCGTTTAAAGGGATTAAAGGCGGTATGTTATTAAGATCCTAGAGCGAAGTCACGCTATCGACTGTACTGAAATTATTAACAGTGAGGTGTTTACCATGACTCATTTATTAGATTAATCATTCGTTAAAAACAGGTTTGAAACAGATGGTATAACTTTCCTTATTGTAATCACACCATATTATGAATGAAAACCAACAATTTAACTCTATTATGTTGGTTGCCTTCAAGCACATGACACTAATTTCTAAGACTACTGATATATAGTTTTAAATGTTGGGACTCAGACATTATTGGTTCAGTTTGATCGAACTGTTATAATCAGGTGCCTTTCGCCAAAGTCATCACTATCCTTATTTTTATCCATCTTTTCATCAATGTTATCCTAGAAATAACACTTTCTCCCACTAACTTTTCATAGAAGCAATCTCATACCGGGAGGTTTGCTTATCGAGTTGGAATATGTAAATGAAATAGCCCTATTTGGTGATGCTGACAAAATGCATTCTTTTGATCGAAATGAACAGCATTACAAACATTTGTTATGTGCAGATCTCCTTCTGAAGGTGAAATGTTCCTCCACAACTGGTTTGCTTTAACGCCTGAACCAATGATAGAAATTAAAGTAGTTGAGCGTACTGATCATTTAACTTATTTTAAAAGTCTCATAAATCTTGTAGGGTCAATCTGTAGTAAAATGTCGTCAAATATTCATGAAGTGCAGTTAGCCTTTGCCAACTTGTGTCACTTATGGCATAGGTGGCATGCCCTCCTGACAGTCAAAGGGGGTATATATTGTGCGCAACAGTCTGCTCTCCATTACGTTATGGCTGTGCAACACAGTCTTCCAAGGTAAAAGGTCTTTGGTTTGAGCCATATTGGTAGATTCAGACTATCTGATTGTGGTCCAAGTGATATTTGTAATCAATTATTGGGAACTGATATATGTCTCAGAATAGTTCACGACGTATTTACTTTCTATCCTTTTTACACTTTTGAATTCCAGTATTCCTTTATATATACACTTTTTCAATCTTTTTTCAAATCATATTCTCGAAATTTAGCCTCTTTTTATCATTGGAATTATATTATTTAGATTTCTTTTATTATTTTCAATCCGTCGTGCTATCGTAGTATAATAACTTGCCCCACGTACATTTTTCCTAGGCTTTTTGTTTGTGGTGTCTGTCTGTCTTTAAGTTGGTGGGGACTTTGATGCTATTACAAATATACTGCTAGTAACATAATCTATTTTTACTTCACTTCCCGTAAAAAATTTATTTACAGCAACCCAGTACTGATGGCGTTTCATATTCATATAAATGAAGACGAAGTTGTCTCTTGGGGATCGAAAGCTTTTACTTCCACAGAGGATAAAATGCCATTTACGGATATAGCTCTATGTTCAAATGATAATCGTATTATTGGACTGTGTTCTACTGTGACTAGTGTTTGTCTCTACTCTTGGAAATTGATTATTCAATACAATACTTGCCAACCATCTTGCTCTGTCAAATGGGATGTTGTAAGTGTTAAATAATATTTTCCTATTTAATTAAAAGAATGCAATAAATACTAGGAAAAAAGCTTTGGTTAGAGCAAGATGAAGTATGTATCATAGAAGAGGAAAAGAAGTGAAAATCGTATTAAAACAACGGTTTAGTGTAAAAAGCAACAGGAAAGAATTTGTTTTCCACACAGTCACTAATGAGCACAATTTTAAACCGTATCAAAATGTCGTGTAATTATGAATATTAAGTCCATAATCACATATTTCATTTCACTGTATGAAATAACTCTTAGTGCGATAGGATTTGTACAATAGATTCATTATGCTGCAGGGTTTGGGGTTTGTTATGAAGATGTTTTGGTTGTTGAAGTGGTATATATAATGCTGATCAATAAGTGATTGACTGATGACAACACCATAGTTGTTTTTCCCCTCAATAAAGCCAAATAGCAATCATAGCAAAATAAATTAAATTCAATTATTTTATTGACAGTCTTCCATTGCATAGTTTTAGTCTAAAAATTCAGTTGGAAATGATTAGTCCAGACTGAACTTTAATTATTGCAGAACGTGGATCTGTATGTCTACTCATTTTCACTAAAGTTTTTTTATTTTTATTATTTATTTATTTAAACACATAAACATTGGTACAAGAAGGCACCAAGTAGATATGCGCCACATAAATCATTAGATTTGTGTGAGGGCTGTGATACTGCCCGGGTGCCCAGACCGAAGCAGGTGGTTTTCTTACGGGGCCCGAGCCTTTGACCTAAAGGCCTGACCCACAAGGCAGTGGAGCATCGTGAGGAGATGCAGTCCCATGGTAGCCGGTGACCAACGATTGGTTCATACGTCATTTGTCCCCGCAGGATACTTGAGCCCATGTGCGCCATTGGTTTGGAATCCGGTTAAAGCGCCGGACATTCGCTTTCCATCCTCTCAATTTCGTAAACAACACCCTGGCCACGAGAATTCCGTGAGTAGGACTTCCCTGGTAGAGGCTGTATACGCGTGGCCGTGTGTGAGCATTTTGAGCGGGAGGGCGGGCCCACCCCACTCTCGGCCATACCAGGGCATTTGGGGGCAAAGTTGTTTTGCTTCATAGTTAAGGTATTATTTTTACTGCCTGTTACATGTAATTTCAAGAGAGATCTAAATGATAAAATTTTATTCTTTTCATTAAATAGCCTCAAATTGTTGATTGTATATCAAACAGCTTTCTTCTACAAGTTCCAGGTAGGTGGTTTTAGGTTTTATATGTACTGTATAAACCATCTGTTTTCCTTACATAATTATTGCATCTTAAATACGCTTGATCGATAAACTACCATAATTTTGCTCGTGAAACAAATTGTAATGGGTTACATAATCATAAACTCCGCCTGTAGCCCTTCTTGGTTTAAAGCCGGTCCCAAGATTGGATAAAGAAAAAGAGTTGGGTATGAGGTTAACAACCCTATCCCATAGAAAACAGCCTTGCCTGGATAAACAGAATAAACAATTTGAACGATTTACAATCTGCTCTGGGAGTTGAAGGAACTTCATTCATAAGAATCCTGATCCCTTATGATGAAAGCCGAGATTCCTCAGAAATCACGAAACCGATTCCCTTTCTGATAACCAGAACAACAATTAACCTTGGTATGTGGAATATCCGGATATTGTGGAAGACTGTGAGGACCAGCCAAATGGCTACAAGAATGAGGAGGTACAACTTAACAATATTCGAAATCAGAGAATCCCATTGAACCCAAGCTAGACAGAAAAGGCTAGATCCTGGAGAGATGCTGTTGTACTCTGGTCACGAAGAAGAAAATGCTCCTCACACATAGGAAGTTGTTCGATGTTGTCCAAATAAGCACGAAAAGCACTTATGGAATGAGATGTCACGGAGCCAGGATCATCAAAGCATCCTTAAAAACAAAGAAAGAGGGAATCACAGCGAATGATATCCAGTGTTATGCACCCACCAATGATAGTAATGAGGACGATAAAGATCAGTTTTATGAGACGCTGCAGTCGATCGTAAGGAAGTGCCCATAAAAAGACGTGGCTAGTATGAAGAACCATTATGATTTGCCCTTCGTGTACCTGCAGACTTGACTAAAACTTCTCGTGGTCTTGCTGGTGTGAGTATAGCACCAAGTTCACAGTAATCCTATCAGGTAATTTTAATACTGGGGCGTAAAGAAATTGAGTTCATTATTCACTTCACTTATCCTAAACGTCTCATAGGTTGTGGTATGTTGTTCGTGTTTGGTAAAATCTCGACAGAGGTTCAGAAAGCTTAATAAATTTTGCCAGCTAATTAGAATTCAAAATGTACAAAGTATTGTATAAAAAATAGTGATAATGAAGTACATTCCGGCTAACTGATGATTATTAAGATATGAAAATAAATGTGACAATCAATGATTATTCACTTCTGCCTTCGTCTTTGTCGCTGCAATATGAGAAATCACTTGTTTTCTTTTTGTTTAATGATCTTCAGTTCCAAGTCCCCGAACAGAACTTTTGGAATTATTCTTCAAGTGCACAGATAATAGCTCAATGTTACAAGCGTATGAATCAAATAAACAATTGCATCAACACAATGTAACTCAACGTCATATACGTAGTCAAAAAACGCGCAAGTTGAATAAAACTCGACAGAATTCTGTTGATAAAGAATTAAATGTATAAAATACGACTCACTATCTAAATGTTATTCTTAATATTGTTGTATTGGCTTCAAAAGTGATGTTGTAGACCTTCAGTGGTAATTATTTTGCAAGCGACTTATTATTATTTGCATAGAAACGTTGATATTATGGAAAGTTCATTGTAGTCGACATACACCACTATATTTTGAACTCATTATTTGTTTCCATGAAGTCTATCGGGGAATGTATGATTTTACGATCGTTCCTTGGTTGATAGAAGCTAGTCACCAGTACTATCAGCTCTTATCAATATAAACGTATTCTTTTAGTAGTCTTCTGTCGTCGTTATTTCAAAGTAAAGCAAAGCAAATTGAAATATTAGCGTTCTCATTTACAAATTTCCAAAACTTTTAAGCTCATCAGTTATTAGTCAACTTCTGTTTTTACGCAAATTATTCTTTACTGTCTGAATCCTTTATTCTTTAAATCCAAGGAAAGTTTGGAATAAATTCTATCGAGTTAATATCAAATTCACAAACTTCAATGTTCCACAATGTTGGGGCTCCTGGTCAGTACGGTTAACTAAAAATATCCACTTTTTAAGTTTATTTATTTTATTTGATAACATAAATATTGGTACAAAGGGGCATCGAATGCTCATGCGCCACACAAGTCACTTGATTTGTGTGCGGGCTATGATACTACCCCGGTACTCAAACCTAAACAGGTGGTTTTCCTAGGGGGCCACATCCGGAGCCTTCGACCTAAAAGTCTGATCCACAAGGTAGTAGAGCAACTTTAGATGTAGTCCCATGGTAGCCGGTCACCAACGATTGGTTCATACGTCATTTGTTCCCTCAAGATTCTGGAGCCCATGTACACGACTGGTTTGGAATGAAGGTTTTCCAACCAACCCAGTTAGAGCGCCGGACAAATGTTTTTTATCCTCTCAATTTCGTAAGAAACACCCCCCGCCACTGGAAAGCAGTGAGTAGGACTTGTGTGGCAGTGGCTGTATACGCGTGGCCATGTTAGAGCATTTGGAGCTCACTTTCCAGGACTAATAATTAATTGTTTTCGAGCTCACTTTCACACTGAGAAACGTCACATGACTTTGTGTCTAGTGACCTCAACCCGAATTGGGATACATTAGTGGTTTAACTTGTAACGGTTATTTTGAAAAGGGTCGGTTAAAGATTACTAACTTTTATGAGAGGTACTAGAGAAACGTGGCCTCGATATAACTTGGTGGTTTTTTTGGTGTATTAGCTAGAGGTATACCCTTCCGTTAGACTCTGAGGTCTCCAAGGGTAATTTGCACTAACCATATCCTTTGATTTCATGCCGTTTGATTATACATCCCTTATCTCTTAAATTGCTCTCAGCTTAATGTTTGCTTAAAAAGTTATGCAAATTAACAGAAGACTGTAATAAAGTTTTACTGATTATGTCAGCTTATGGTGAGGTACCATCGTAGTCACCTCTGTTCTTATCTCTTTTTTTAGCTTTTCCATAGATGGGTTATTGGTAACTGTCTTCTAACCCCTTCTAGATCTTCCATTAGGGAGTTATGTCAGCGTAGAGTACAGAGCATGGTCATTTATACCAAAATGGATTTTTCTCTTGTAGACAACTGACTTTCGGTTCGAATGGTTTCATATCTGTTCTAAGTGTGATAACTGAGATCGTTATTCACATCATAGTTCGTTGTTAGCTAATATTAACTTGTGTCACCTGTTTCCAGTATGCTACTTCTCATCCCTTCTATAAAACATCAGGCTAGACTCTGATAGTTCCTACTTTAAATAGATATCGATAGGAAGCGTTTGTTCGGGACTGTTACTGCTTTTGGAGCACCTATTTCGACCTGGATAATATTCTACTATATATAGGCTGATAATACATTAATTAAAGCACTTAAGCGTTGTGCGGAATACTTTGAATGTTTATACAATCTATCCGTTAACATACTAAATCCAGAAAAACTATTCTACTCCCGTTACTCTGTTTGAGACGGATTATATTTTCGAGTGTCGTAACAACAACGACTAACTACAGGAGAGCTCCTGTTATACTCCGGCCATGAAGAAGAAAATGCACCACATACACAAGGAGTTGCATTGATGCTGTCCAAACAAGCGCAAAATGCACTTATAGGATGGGAATCTCATGGACCAAGGATCATCAAAGCCTCCTTCAAAACAAAGAAAGAGGGCATTTCAATGAACATCATCCAATGCTATGCGCCTACCAACGACTACAATGAAGACGCTAAAGATCAATTCTACAATAGGCTGCAGTCAATCGTCGAGAAGTGCCCAACAAAGGACCTGACCATTCTGATGGGAGATTTCAACGCCAAGGTTGGGACGGACAACACTGGATATGAAGACATCATGGGACGACACGGACTGGGAGAAAGAAACGAAAATGGTGAGAGATTTGCAAATCTATGTGCCTTCAATAAGCTGGTCATAGGCGGCACCATATTCCCACATAAACGCATACACAAAACCACATGGACTTCACCGGATCACTCTACACAAAACCAAATCGACCATATTTGCATCAACAAAACGTTCAGGAGGACTGTAGAGGACGTGAGAACCAAGAGAGGAGCTGATATAGCATCAGATCATCACTTACTGGTCGCCAAGATGAAATTGAAACTCAAGAAGCACTGGACAACGGGGCAGACAGTATCACAAAAGTTCAATACGGCCTTTCTCCAGGATACTAACAAACTCAACAAATTCAAGATAGTCCTCAGCAACAAGTTCCAGGCCTTTCATGATCTACTCAATGGAGAAGGAACTACTGTGGAGAGCAACTGGAAGGGGATCAAAGAGGCAATCACTTCAACATGTCATGAGGTCCTGGGTCACAAGAAGCACCACCACAAGGAATGGATCACTGTTGATACACTGGATAAGATTCAAGAAAGAAAAAACAAGAAGGCAGCGATCAATACCAGCCAAACAAGAGCAGAAAAAGCTAAGGCACAAACTGAATACACGGAAATAAAGAAACAAGTGAAGAGGAGTATCAGAACCGACAAACGTAAATATGTGGAAGATTTAGCAACGACGGCGGAAAAGGCTTCAAGAGAAGGAAACATGAGACAATTGTATGACACGACAAAGAAACTCTCTGGAAATCGCCGCAAAGCAGAACGACCAGTGAAAAGCAAGGAAGGCAAGGTAATCACCCACATTGAAGAGCAACAAAACAGGTGGATAGAACACTTCAAAGAACTCTTGAATCGACCAGCGCCACTGAACCCACCCAACATCGAAGCAGCACCCACGGACCTCCCAATCAATGTTGGCCCACCAACAATTGAAGAAATCAGCATGGCCATCAGACAAATCAAGAGTGGCAAAGCAGCAGGACCGGACAACATCCCAGCAGAGGCACTAAAAGCAGACGTAGCGGCAACTGCAAGGATACTCCACATTCTCTTCAATAAGATTTGGGATGAGGAACAAGTACCAATCAGACTGGAAAGAAGGACTTCTAATCAAAATACCGAAGAAAGGCGATCTCAGCAAGTGTGATAACTACAGAGGCATCACTCTTCTCTCAATACCGGGA